TGGATCACTTGTTGTTCCCTTGTCCCTGGGTTTGTTAACACCACTTCTTTTCCCCCCACCTCCCCCTCTCCCATGTCCCCCCGGAACTGTCAGTCTCGTTGCTTTCTCCTCCAGATTGTTCATCCAGCCTATCTTATTTAGACAGATCTGTGGAGATAATAACATGCACAAAAACAAGAGAGGACCAAGTACAAATGGCTTTCTCAGGTTTCTGAGGCTGGACTGTTGGCCTTTTGGTTAGCAGCCTGATGCCAAACCACTGCACCAGCAGGTTAAGATAACGGAGGATTGCCTTTGTCGTAAAGAGTTTCTTGGATTCATTAGGATGAGTTGATTCTGGCCAGGCCCCTGGGCAGGGCACTGGTGACCAGATAAGATAAGCTTCTACTTGCATTTTGATACTGTGCTCTGGATAGTGCATGGGGGTACCAGGTCATATTCTAACAGAAGGGTTTGCTGAGAAGAGCCAGTGGTGTGGGAGACCCTGGGCTAACCAGAGAAGTAGGAGAATAACTGGATTATTCTGGGTCAGGCTTTCACTTCGCATAGCTCTGAGGTTTCCACCCTGAGGGTGAGCCTCAGTGTGCCCTAGTTGTTAGCCTTTTCCATTGAATTAGTAACGTGCTTTGCAATCTTCATGGTGTGCCTTTCAAAACCGAGCAGCTTCTGTTGCGCTTGATGAAACGTGACTCCATTTGAAATGTTATCCAGCTAATAGTTGCCCTTTGTGGTTTAGAATATAAAATATTTTATATTTTAAAAATATAACCAACTTTCTGTGGGGCTTATGAATTTACATAAAATTAAAGGCTAGAAACTACTGCTTTAACTCTTAGACCTTTTGAGTTACCTGTGAACATTTCCAACAAGTTCTGAATTTTGTTCTACCCTCAGCATACAGTTATAGATAGCAGCCCTGGCAGCATGATGGGTTATAGGTTGGACTGCTAAATGCGAGGTCAGCAGTTCAAACCCACACACCTTGGTGGGGGGGAGCCTTCATGTACCTGAAAAGATTTGCAGCTTTGGAAACCTTACAGAGAGGTCTATTCTGCCCTATAGGATCCTTATGAGTCAGACTGGATAAAGTTAAGTGTGATAAATATGATGCCCTATATTTCAACTAAAAGCAAACACACACGCACACAAAAGACAGGATGGGAGGGGTTTTCTTAATAGGAGAGAGCTTGCAAAGACTTAGAAGTTTTTCTTGTCCATAGCTGTTTATGAGCAAACAGTGGCTTTGCCCTCGGAAACCCATTGGCCGCTTCTGACTGCATTAAAGGCAGTGTGGTATTCAGAACAGAGTAGGTGGGTGATCTTGCAAACAGTGAACACTTGGGAACTGGCAAGTCCGAGTGTCAGGTGGGCTTCAGGCACAGTCCACAACTATGAACGGCATGGATGGTAACTCAAATCCACTCCGAGATGCCTTGGAAGAAAGGCTTGACAATCTTCTCAGCCACTGGCATCCCTCGCTCTGCTCCGACACATGCCAGCTTTCCTGGAATCACTTTTCTTCAGGCCCCTGGTGAACCGGGCTCCAGCTCTGTTTGTCTGACCCCGTGTTTGCGCCACCCTTCATCCTTAAGCACCAACAATAACAAAATGCCATTGCCATGAAGTCATTTTGACTCATAGTGGCCCTATGGGGGGTTTCCAAGGCTTCAATAGTTTCAGGAGCAGACGGCCTCATCTGTCTCCTAAGGAGTGACTAGTGGGTTTGAACCGCAGACCCTGCAATTAGTAGCCCAACGCTGACCCGACAGCACTACTGGAAATCCGTAGGTTTTATCTCATGGTCAGATATAGGCATCCTCCCTCCCATTGGTGGAGAAGAGGGTCTTTTTGCCATAATCTCATACTAACACCAAGTTTACTGCCATCAAGCCAGGATAGAATTGCCCCTGTGAGTTTTCAAAACTGTAACTCTTAATGGGTGTACTAAGTACTGTCTTTCACTTGAGGAGCACCTGGTGGTTTTGAACTACTGACCTTGTGGTTAGCAGCTCTATGCCACCAGGGCTCCTCCCATAGTCCCATAGGCTTGGATTACTGTGTCTTCTTGTATCAGTCACTGAGGCCCAGGAGATAGGACTATGATAACTGGCATGTGTGAGTCAGACATCTAACCTGGAACTGGCACCGTACTTCCTAGCAGCACCCCCAGGGAATAGAACCGTCCTCGCCATGGAGCATCTGAATGTTGCCAGGACTTGTTGCTGTGTGGACAGTCAAGGATATTCTCCACCCCCTGCTTTGTGAGCACAGCTCCCCTAGTGTCCACCATTAGTTCTTGCCTCAGCCTTTGCAAAGGACATTACCCCAGTGGCCTTTCTGTATGAGGGTGCATTAGGAACCAGAAAAGAGATCCTGTGAGGAATGGCTATAGGAAGGAGACTCAGAAGGCAGAATGCGGAGGTGTATGTGATTCTAACCATCCTGAATATAACACGGAGTACCAAGAGGAGCAGTGTCTTTTGTTTGTGTGAGCCCCTCGGGCACATACTCATGGGCATTTTTGTGGAAAGAAGACTAAACCAAAGATAGTGAGAGTCTTTTTCTCTGAGGATGTTCTCGGGCACCCACTGGCCTCTGGCCAGGATTGGTAGGAAAGGCTGCTCTGCAGAGTTGCAAGAGGGAGACTAATGACCAGACAGAAGGAGGTGTGACTGAAGGGGTTGGTGAATGACTAAAAGGGCCGGGAGGTGTGGCGGGCTAGAGAAGAGCTGGTTTGCTGTCAGTGCTTTGCCAGCACTCAAGCTTTGGCCTCCGAGGCAGGAAGTAGAGAAAGGTTGATCCCGAGAATGGGGGGGAGCGGAGCGTGCGAGGGGTCCCATCAGCACGACAGTCTAGTGTGCTTGGCTCCTGCCTTGTTTGATTAGATAATCACACCGCCTGCCCCAGGCGTGACTGGCCCAGTGGGAGTCAGGAAGGAAATGATTTCCCTCTGTTGACACCAGTGTACAATTGTCGACTGTAGCCGGGGGCTTTCAGTTTTAATATTTCCTCTTTGGTCCTCAGAAGCATCCTCTGCGGGAAGCGAAGCAGTGGTCACTTCCGTCAGAGGTGAATGCCTTGGCTCCCGACAGTGACTCCATCAGGGCTCTCTGGGCATGTGTGACCGTCTGCTTGGCCTGCTCTGATTGCTTTTGTGCT